CCGGTCCGGTCCCTCTCCCTCTTTTGTTGCTTGTTGACCAAGATTTGGAAAGTGTTTAACCCTAGGGTTATAAGTTCAAAGCTTCTCCCCTCACCTCACGTAATATTTTCCTGCAGCTCTCTCTCAATTCTCCCGGCCTCGCAAATCTCTCCCTCTCTCGTAAGATAAGCACAAATTTTCTTTTTATCTCCCTCAACCCGTCGCAGCAGAGAAGAGAAAGAATCTCGTGATCTCTCTCACCCTCTCCCCTTCTATTCGTTTAGCAGTAGAGAAGAGAACATGTCTCTCGCTCGTCNCGCCACCATCGCCATCATCAGTCGCACCTTAGGCCGCCTTGCCTCCGCGAGTTGCTGCCATCGCGAGGTCCCAGCAGGTTGCCGCTGCACAAGAAGTTCACGCTCTCTTGCCCCGCGTGAAATCACCATCGACGACCAAGCCCTGTTTGCTGCTCGAGTGTGACTCGCTTGGTCCTCTACTCGCAAGCCCCGTCATCCCTGTTTCGCGTGTTGCAGTCCCCGGTCAATCGCCATTCATCACTGTTATCGCTCGCGATTCCCACAAAAGTACGACCGTTGCCGCGTTGCTGCCCCAGACCAACGGCCCCGTGCATCACTGTGCTCGCAAGACCCGCTGTTGATCGCTGCAAGCCATCACCCAATGACCTTCGATCACTCACAGGCCACCTCATTGCCGCTGGACATGTGCTCAACCCGCAGCTGAGCCAAGCTTGCTGCCGAGGCTCTCTCGGGCGCGCCTATTAGCCTGGTTCAACCCTTTTTCTTAACCCCGTCCCGAGAACGGTACCGGGCTGACCCTTGAATACTATTTATGTACTTATATTTGTATTTATGTGTGATACTTGGTGATTAATTGATGCCTTGGTATTACTTGTTCATGAATGTATGTTTTGAGTTGAAATTGAATTGAAAACACTAAGTTAGAGCCTCTGTTTTTGCTCAGTTTTTCGAAATAAAAAAGTTGTTTCTTTGACAAGTGCTCTTTATGTGAATTTTAGTATTTTTAGTTAGAGTTCAGTGTGATTTGGAATTTTGAAATTTGGAGTTGATTTGAATTTGTTATGAATTTTTTAAGTTGAACACGCATGCTGTTTATATAAATCCGGGCAGGTCTTGTGATTATGATGTTAGGCTAATTTTGATGATCCTAATCTGGCTATATGAAATGTGATCTTCATAAAATATGTACTACATGTTATAAGCTTTTATTAGGTGTTTAAATCTTGCAATTTGGAGTTTTGGTTGATTTTATATGATTTTTCTTAAGTTGGATTTATGCCTAGAATTTTGAAGCAGTGGCTGTATATATGCATGAAATGTACACTCTAAAATGATGCATTTAACGTGATTATATGTAAAAATGCTCTGCATGAAATTTGTAGCTTGCCTTGTTTAGTTTCTTCAGGTCGTGAGTTTGTATGATTT